TGGGGTCTTTCCTGGTTAAAAATTTCTTGCACCCTCATTTTCTTTGCTCAGAAATCATAATGGAACTTTGGTGCTTTTTGGTTCGGCATGCTGAAATAGGCTTGGTGAATGAAATCATCGATGAACTATGTGCATTAATGAAATTAGTTGCATCTCCTGAATCAGTTTTTGTTCCACATTCCAGTCTCCGAAAGATAGCCCGCTCAGTCTGCATTCTTCTCACATTTAGCACCCCATCAGTGGTGGATCGTGTTTACAGTTCTGTGGCAGGTGATGACAGATTGCAGTTATCACCAGTTTTATATGCAGTCTTGCTTTTGGAAGGCTTTCCACTAACCTTGCTATCACAGAACATGAGAAGTATCACTAAAGACAAAATCATTACTGATTATTTTGGTTTCATCGATAGTTTTGATGACAAATCGTTGACTGTCTCCAGTTCTGAATTTGGGATTCCAGTTTTTGCTCTATCTGCTTTCTTGCAGTCACTGTAAGTGCTTGCAATGTGTTTATTCATTAATGAACCGGTATCTGTTTTTGTCAATTGGAAACAGAAGTAGCAATGTCTTTGTAGAAGTTCCTAATTCTTTTCCTGCAAATCAAATGAAAACTAACAGATTTCACTGTAGACAAATCATCTCCTGGTTTGACATCCTTTGCTTGCATGCTAATGTAGCTGAAGATCTGTGCAAAAATTTTCTTCTAAGAACTTTTTGATTCTATTTCTGACCTATGAAATTGATTTTAGTGTCTCAATATTAAATGAAATTACTATTCCATGCAGCCAGGTCACTGTATCTGACACTGACATGAAGACCTTGAAGTTCCTAGTTGCTATTGCTTGTGGTTGTAGGAATTCTGTGGACAAATTAAACAAGGAAGTCTATTGTATGCTTTTGAGTCAAACATTAGTGATTATCTCAAATTTGAGTCACCTGTATGCATCTGATGAAATGGAGAAGGTCATCTTGGAGCTTCACAATCTGTTTGTTTCAGGACCAGGAGCTTCAGATACTCTGTTGTATCAATGCAAACCTGGACTGGCACTTTTCATGGCTGGACTTAGTAACATGGGAATGTCGGAAAGTGATAATTGTGCTAAAAGCTCTGCTGTCTGGGAGTTGTATCACATGCTTTTGAGAGAGCAACACTGGGCGATTATTCATCTTAGCATGGCAGCATTTGGATATTTTGCTGCTCGTACTAATTGCAATCAGCTATGGAAATTTGTGCCACAAGATGCAGCTCTTTCGTATGACCTAGTGTCAGGAAATGAGATGAATGAAGAAAGATTTATGTCTGAGTTTAAGGCTTTTCTTGAAAAAGAAATGGCTCTTCATGCAGTTACACCCAGCTCCGAGCAACAGGGGCTACTTCTTGAGGAAGGTCTAGTTCTAAAAGAAAAGGTTCGCAAGATCTCAAATATCAAAGCAGAAGCTTCAGGATGTGATAACATGGAGATTGATGATGAAAACCAATCAAACAAGAGAAGGAAACTTCCTGATGGAATTAACAAGGGAGTGGAATTCTTGCAAAATGGCTTGAAGGTTATTAGTGACTGTCTTACCCAGTGGCAACCAAATCATATGGAGTCTGCTGAACTTCATGACAAGTTATTGACTCACTTTTCTAGCCTTGAAAATGTGATTGCTCGAATGGTGGGTCTTACTAGTTAAGTGATCATAGAAGCCCTCTGCATGGAAATTTCTCAAAGTGCTTGACAAGTTACTTGGGTTGCTGAATTCAAATTGTATAGGAAGTATGGAAGGGATTGGATATGGCTCAAATAGTTCTAAGCAGGTAAAAATGTTACGTTCATTCTTGTCATTGGCTGTGGCAATTTTAATCTTGCCAGGACATGGTTCCATTTCTCACATGTTATAGGACGGACATGTATGTACAGAATTTGTTCTCTAACCTAATTTTAAACATAATTGCTTTAGTACCAATGAAAATTTGTGGTCAAATTATATAATATTTCCTTTTCTTTATGCTGAATTTTGCATTCTTTTACAGGAGTTCATTTTCATTTGCTTATTCATATTTTCATGCTGGTGCTTGAGTTGTGTATTGTGTTTCTCGAATTCAATGATTGTTGATAGCTTAACTGATAAAGTACTTTGGTGGTGGGTAGTATTAAGGATTTAAGGATGTGTACCCCCGCAAAGAAAAGATTTGAGAATGAATTTTGCCTTTTGAAAAGTTTATGGGAATGGACAGATACGTTTAGTCCAGCCCATGGGGGAAAACCCGATTCTCGAATCATTGTATGTGTTAGAAGCAAGACCTTGAAAGTTGAAAACCTTTGGTTTGGTTTTTCTTTCTTTTTAATGTTTAACATAATGGACTTGCCATCAGTGTAACCTTGAAAAAAGGTTTTTAGTGGGACAGTCTTGATTGAACTTATTGTTGGGTGGTAAGTTTCCCTCTCCAAATTAACTGTTGAACAACATGATCAGAACTGTACTTGCGTCTAAATCATCAATCTCTGGTCTATGATTTCATCTGCATAGCATTGTCCGCCCTTTAATACTGATCTTAATTCTTAAATATGGTAACATAGATATGATACAGAGGCTGATTTCAGGTGCATGTGTTCCCCTGTTTTATCCCTGTCCAGATTCGATGGTTAGTATTTCTCTGTGGGCTTGAATGTGTTTAATATTGGAGCCGATACATAACACTGTGATTAAGTTCAACATTTTTGATGGTAATCTCATATAATCAACAGCGGGTCCAATGTTTATTATGCAGAAAGGCAATTACTAAAAGGGCGGTTAATCCAAAAATTCATTCCTAATCTTAAAGTTAAGCCCTTCACTGGCACATTGTCTTACTGTGTTTCACAGGCACAAACCAAGTTGAGGTTGGAACACTTGAAAATGATAGAAAGTTGATGTTTCGCTTTTTTCTGTGGAGCAAAGATATATAGAAAGTTTATGTTGCTGCGTCATTGGCAATGCAAAGGATGATAACTTAAAAGTTCCATAGAAGAGTTAATATTAAAAGATCAAGCATAAGATACGCGGATTATTTCTCAATGTTGTTTGGCTTCTAAGTTCTCTAATATCCCAGTTGGAATGCACCCACGACAAAGCACATGTATCTGTATTAAGAATTGCAAATTGCAAGAGTGGTTATGCTCGATATATATATATATATATAAGCTTGATTTGGCATGTCCATTCTGGGAACCACTTGCCATAATTAAATACAACCTTTTTAGGCCACAATTATTACCCTTAATTTGCTGCCATGTGATCATGGAAGAATGTTACATAATTAGCATAATATACTTCTATAAATGTCTTTCAATTATGATTTTGCCATTCTTGCAAATGCATCGCGTTTTACGAATCATTACAATGGCTTCTGTGATTTTTGGAAGCGACCCTTAGTTATGTTGAAGGAAGTGGAGAAAATAGTACTGTTATAGACCAGATGCAGAATGGACATAACATAAAGACAAGAATAGAATGGAAAAAAAGGGAAATTTCTTTTGTGCAAAGCTTTCGGAGACAGCACCAAAAGAAAATCTAGAACATTAATAAAGGTCATGTAACATGGTGTGGTCCTCCTCGGTGACATTCTAATATGATAACTGCTCACTTGGCTTTTTGTGTTGACAATTTTTTGTTTTGTTTTGCCTTTTTTTTCCCCTGCCAGGGTTGTAGTAAAAAGCAATAAATCCAAGATTACCTGATTCTGTGCTGGCATGACTTATACGTTATATATATATCTTTATGACTTACCATAGAAAGGCCATATTAGTTTGGTGGACTAAAAGTGCCTATATTAGCTTGCTATGTAGTTATGAGGATTCCTACTATCGCTCTTATTGTTTTAGAATTTAGGTTGTTGTGGAAGAAGAGGCTGCATCATTATCTGCCAAACATGAAGATTGCCACAAGAGTTCTGATAATGTTTTGTGTGGCTGTAGGCATCATCTTCATGTCTGTGTATCAACCAGAACACTTTTTCGGCATGGAGTATGAAGTTCGTGTGATCAATGGCTTCTCCAACAACTCTTCGCTGCCTCTAGTCATCTGGTGCATATCGCAGCAGGATGGGGATATGGGCGGGCGTGCCCTCCAGGAGGGTGACGATTTCGGATGGAGGCTCAAGACCAATATCTGGGGCAATTCCCATTACTTGTGTACCCTGAAATGGGATGCCAAGAGGAGGAGTTTCGATGCGTTTAAGGTTCCCAGAGACAGTCAGCGGTGTGCTCCTCTGAAGAAATGTTCCTGGCTGGTGAAAGAGGATGGGTTCTATTTCAGCAGTGATGAAGTCAACTGGAAGAAAGACTTCTCCTGGTACTGATTTGCATGGCACCCTATCCTTTCTGTGCAGCCAGAGGTTTAAACGTTTGTCGGGTAACCATAAACAACATGTTTTCTGCCAATGTAATTGCTTTTGCTATTGCTATATGAGCAGAACAGTTTTGACCATTGAGATCTTAATGGTAAGCTCGGCCTTGAAAGCAAAAAAAAAATAAAAAATTTCCATCCTCAGGCATACATATACCTAATGAAATTATACTCCATATACATATTTTTTATTTTTGGTTATTTAAGGTCCTTGAAAGTGCAAAACACAAGATCATCTCCTCGGAATCTTTGTAGTGATATATTGTACTTTAGTTGTACTAACTTTATAATTGGTTTTCGTTTGGGGCATGAAACTCCACAGCACATTAAAATAGGAGTGTGGAACAAAAGGTTAAGGAAGAAAGAAAAAAGAATATAGTCTTGGCCCGTCCATGGTGATTAGCAACTTGCCTTGGCAGCTGTTAAGTGGCAAGAAAGTAGTATAATAAGACAAAATCATCGCCATAAGAGTGATTATGAATCTCATCTTTGAATACATGCCAGTGTATCAATCATAAGTGGGATCCAATAAAATAATACACGAGTAATGAAGATTAGGCGCAAAAGATTAAGTGTCAGGATTAAACTGCCTTGATGACCAATAAGATGTTTGCTGAAGCAGGTTTGAGCATTTCGACAAAGCACATAGTTTATTGAGGAGAATCATGAAAGAGAAATCCTGGAAGTGCCCAAGATCATAAAATAAGGGATTACATATTATATTGCAAAGCAACCTTTTTTTGATAGCAGAAACTTTTTATCTCCAACTTTTGGTTTTGGTTTAACATGCTTTTTATCGCTTCACTGTCTCACCAGTACTCGTGGGTCTCTACACCCTACTCCCATGATTCGATAAAGATTCTGGTTCCACTCATCGAACAAATGCAATAAATCATTGCATCAACAGTTTACAGCAACACTGGTTTCTTCTCACAGTTTAAAATTCAAAATTTTCTTTTCTTGATAGAGCAGAGCATCAAATTGGAGTGCTGAGTTAGTTCTGGCAATGAATTGTGGATATAGCAGGACTTTTCTTAACAAGAACGCAAGCACAGAGCATACGGACTAGAGTGTAGATATGACATGATTCTTATCAAAAACCTTCATACAGGCATATCAGACAAGCCGAAAAGGCAGCCAAAGTGACTGCTTACACTTCATAGTTGCACTAATTTTTGGTAATTGGTGCCATAGCCTGCTTAAATATGGGGATCGAAGTAAAGAAAAATGCGAGATTCGAATCAATGAATAAGCATTTAATAAAATTATATTATTATTTTAAGAAAAGACAACGTTATGATGAGCCGCAAAGTTGATACTACTTGTTTAGCCTGGCATTGTTGGTTGCCACTCCAAAACCTGTAACAGTGAAATATGAGTCCTTTGATAATACCCTGAAAAGAAAAATATGCGGCAACTTGTCCAAAATGAAGTTGTCTTTTCCACTTGATTCATCACGCAGAATTGTTTCATTTCGAAGTATCAACTTTCTCTTTTTCTCCTTAATAGGAAATGAATGTTCCTTGTCTTAAGTTTATGACTAAGTAAACCTTGCTTTTCATTGCTTTTATGTCTAGCATGCCCTGGTCCTTCTATAATTCATGAGTGGCTATGATCTCAACCCTTGGAAAAACTTAGATTAGCAACTCTTTTTATAGATAAGGAAAGCTATTGACTTGAAACGATTATATTGAAATTTTGATTTTTTATCTTAATGGATATATATTGTTGATAGAGTTTTTAACCTCACAAATAAATTTGTCAAGTCATTTAATAAGTATGTTAATTTATTAATTTTTTTAATTATAATCTTACGGATATGTAATGACTTTGTAAACTCTCTTTGTAAAGTTTAAAAAGATTTGAAGTTATTTCATTTTATAGTTCAAACTTAAAAAATTTTAAGTTTATACAAAAAAACCTCATTAAATGCATTAAAACTCGAGAATTGAGTTTGAGATGACTTCCAAATGATAGAGGCAGAGAAAGCTCAGGTTGAGTAGTGGCAGTCAATTGATTTAAGTCACCATTTCAAGTAGCATGATGATGATTGATCATACAATGGCACCCATTTATTGCTCTTCTGGATTGCATCCAATCTTTAAAGAAGCAAAAGCAAAATCCAAAAGGGCAATCTCCTTCACACCCTCATCTCATCAACTCAATTCACATCAAAGAAAAAGCAAGTCAATGAGGAAACAATGTAGATAAATAGATAGAAAGATACACCCTTCAAAAGATAGAGACAAACCATATACAGCACGATGGCAGCAGTCTCTTTCTGTTTCCATAAACCAAAATGGCGTATGATAATATTCCCTTTTCTTTTTTTCCCCTGCTGTTCTCTATAATTTCAGGGGCAAAGAAATCCTTTTTTTTTTTTTTTCTAATTTTTGCTGAATGAATATGCAAACACTTTTTCAGTTACAGGGTTTTTCCAACTTATATGGATCTTCTTTCTCTAGCAAGTATGGAGTGTCTCTTTCTGTGCTTTTAATCAACAAAACACTAATAGAAAAAACCCTATATTATTTATTTGCAAATTCTGTACTACCTTTCATAAGCTAATGTCTGTGCAGGTATGTTGAGAAGGTGTCATCATATATCTAGTAGTTGTTTCGTCACTTGCATAATTTTCTAGTGTTTTCTGACACTTGATATGGTATACAAGGCTGCTAGCTAGAAGCCGCACAATGTGTTGCACATGAAACTTTTGATGACCTCTGAATCAAGTACTCTTCAGTGTTCATATAATATTTTCCCATAGATTCGAAGGTACTCAAGATCTTCTTGAAAAGGATGTTTCCTCTGCAAATATCCTCTTCAATCAAAATTCTGTACACTCAACAGTACCACAAATTTGCAGTTGCAGGGCAATCTGGCTTCCTGATAAAGCAACAAACTCCATGGCGGGTATATAGTGAATGAATATTACCCAAAAAAAAAGAAACCAAGAATTTAAAAATTAAAGACCCCTTCTCATTGCCATTGACCAAAAACAAAAAAAAAAAAGAAAAACCATTTCAATATAATTGAATAAACTCAGAAAAGGAAAAAAATATTGAATCTTCAATCTTAATTCTTCATTGCAAAAGGTAAAACTTTTAACTTAAACCTAATGGGCGATTGATTAAAAATCATGAGTCTTTCTGATTTGTTTTCTTTTACTTTATTTTTAATTAAATAATATAACTTTTTATTCCTTAATGCTAAAATTAAGCTGTGAAAACAGTAAAAAGTAGTAGCAAGTTGAAGTGGTGCATCTGAGGGAAACGGTGCCCAAAAACCATCTCCTTCAACTTCAAGAGTGATGCCTTAATTAATTGTGGAAGCAAGCAGTCTTCCTCTGTTTTGTGCAGTGAAGCAGGTGGTTCTTGCTGCTTATAATGAATGGAAATTCTCATGTTTTAACACCAAAAAAAAGTAGCACTAAAAAGGGGGTTTCCGAGTGCTGGGTGACATGGTAGCAAAAAGCGTGGGGGCGCTTGTCGAACTCCTGTTGCGCCTTCCAACTTGTTATACATTCACAATCACGCATGCTTGCTTGGGCCAGCCTCCAAATTTTGTCGACTCTCTTCTCTTTGCTTCCAAACTTCACCACCCATATATTTTTGTTTCCTATGATTTAATCTTTACCTATTGCTCACATATATAATAAGGCAAAGGTATCAACTGGATTCCAAGTAAACATTGACTCAGCAAAGATTTCATTAATTTTATTTTAAAATTATTTATTCATTTTTGGGCCAATAGTAAGGTCAATTTCGAGGCCCCAAGAAAGCACTCCCACCAAAGAAGTGTAGCTTACCAATTAGGTAGTTGCCTATAAGGAAATTACTTCTTCTTATATGATCCAGCCTATAAATTAAATGGAATAAAAAAAAAAACTCCAATTCATTAAAATTATAAATAACAGTCCAATAAAAGTGTAACCTGCTTAGCCATTAATGTTTATCAAGTCAAAAGCCTTAAAACTCGAAAATTCAAGTGCCACCAAACTCAGCTATTATTTTTTTATCTTTATTTTCTTTTACTCTCCATGTAAGGTTTAAAAGCTACAAACAGTATATGCTATATTCCCTCTCCATATTACATGTCTCTCTTTTTTTTTTTTGGGAAAATATGTTTAAATTAACCTATATGCATTCATCTTAGGTTTTGAATAAAACCTAAAATATGATAGGTCCAAGAAAAGGCAAAAGGGCCACGACCCATGATGACACCGAAAATGGAAATGGGATGTTGCTACAAATTGGCAAATTTCAATGAAGAGAACTTATTCTCTGGGTTTAAGTTTAAGGTTCTTCGTTAAAATTAATTGAAATAAATTAAAATTTTAAATGAAATTGGTAAATTGATAAAATTTAATGAAAATAATATCTGTGTAAAATGTGAGTGATATTTATTATACGGTAAAAATGGTCAGAATTTTCAATAAAACTATCAAAATATATACAAATTATTAATTGGAATTTTTAAATTTAATTTTTAATTAATAGTTTTTAATAATAGAGTTCAGGAATTTCAGTTATGAAATTTTCACTTTAGGTCTTGCCCAACTCGAATCCCCAACTCCACGCTAAAGGACAATTAACGCAGTGGACACAATTTTTAAGAAGTATTAATTGGCACGATATAGGTGCCTGACCTATTACGCCTAAACTAAACAGCAAAAAAACTGTAATATGATACCTATTTTATTAATTGTTAATCTTCGCTTCTCCATCCTCGTCACATAGCTTTAGCTCTATAAAACCCTAATAGCCTAAAGATCAGGGTCCTTATTCACAGGAATAAACATCAATCTTCTCATAAAAATGGAAAATGGCTGATTCTGTTAAGATTTTGCCTCTCTTTTTCCTTGCATTTTGTTGCATCTACCCATAGCAGTGGCCATAGAGGCCATAACGGTTACCATTCACGTTATAATTGAGTTGCCTCCAAGTTCAGGAA